CCCAAGGTTGAGGGGCTTTCACCCAGCCCCTAGAGCCTGGCACTTTGAACTCGTACTTAAAGCCTCCAAACTGTAAGAATAAACTGTTTGTTCAAGCCATGCCATTTGTGGTCTATTCCTGTCAGAGCGGCACTAGGGAACCAGAACACACGAGAAGGTATTTCTGTAACCAAAGGAGGCGGCGTTCAGCTGGTGGGAGCTTGAGCAAAGCTGGCAGCCACGCGGAGGCCGTGAGCCTGCGAACCCGCACTGCCGGCAGCTCGGCAAGAGGAAGGGGGCCACGGCTGCCATGACCGGGACTGGAATCTCCAACCCATCCGACTCACCCTGCTTCTCTGTTTCGTATCTGAGCACGTACAGCTTTTCCAAAAAAATACAAGAGAAACACCTTTGCCACAGCTGGGGGGCCCCGGGCTCTCCGTGCTGTGATGGTGGGGGAGCCCACGGTTAGATACACAGGATGCATGTGCATCCTTACACGCCAGCGATGGGTGTCAGGGCACGTGAGGTATGGAACCGTGTCCCTCCAAAGCTATGTTGGCATCTTGACCCTGCACCTATGCACATGGCCTGTTGTAGGCAACTAGGGTTTCCTACTGATACCAATGCCTTGGTATCCACTACGCTACACAGATGTTATGGGTCAAGGTCAGGAGGATGTACCGGAGTAGGTAGGTCTTAACCCCTGTGAGTGGTGTCTTATGAAGGGGGGGAGAGATGGAGAAAGTCACAAGTGGAGACAGATGCCGTCTGACGGCAGAGGCAGGTGCAGACGGAGCAGCTCTTGTCACGGGGTGAACTGTGTCCCCAGAAAATATGCTGCAAATCCTCCCCCCACGCCTGTGGCCATAACACTGTCGGGAGCGGTTGTCCTTGTGTTGATGAGATGCGATTAGCCTAAGGACCAAAGGCCCGTTGTCAAGCGAGCCGGCACACAGAAGGCACGACCCGGGCCACGTGATCGCTGAGAAACCAATCAGAAGCTGAAGAGACAGGGCCCACAGACAGCCTTCCCCAGGGCCAGCCATGAACCTGGACTCCGGCTTCCTGACCCGTCAGAGAGGGAACTTTTGTCGCTGAAGCCCCTGCCCGCGGTGTCTCTGTTACAGCTGCGCTAGGCCCCTAAGGCAGGCAGAGCCCCGAAGGGACCACGGGCTTGGCTGACACGGGGCGGACGTCCAGCCTCCAGGGTGAGACTTGAGCTTCTGCTCTCGGCCCCTCCGCCCCGTGGCAGCCTGGGGGACCCTCCACCTCTGCCCCCACGTGTCATCAGCTCCCTCTACCTAGGACCCCCAACAGCTGCCCCTACCACACAGGCCCCTCCTGACCCATGTCCGAGCCAGCACCCCACTGGGGCCCCCACGCCGTCTCAACCCGCTCCTCTCTGCCTCCCTCCTCCGGCCTCAGCTGCTGAGTGTCCAAGTCCCCAGTGGCTCCTGGTGGCCACCGCCCAGTGGGCAGTCCTCAGGCCTCACGGTACCGCCTAGGCTCAGGATTTCCCCCTTGGCCACTTCCTCCTGCTCCAAACCCCCTTCTCCAGGCCTCTGGCCTGATTTCTGGCTTGCTCACCCCCCCCCCAGGGCTACTCCCCAGGCCCCATGGCTCCGCCCCCTGCCCCAAGGATCCGCCGCCGGCCCTGTGGCTCTGCCCTGGGCCCCCGCAGCTCCTCTCCCAGCCCCATGGCTCCACTCAGTCTTTCTGGCCACTCCCGACTGTCTGTCCAGGCTGTCTGCCTGTCTGCAGGATATTGTTGTTACTGAGTTGGTCATTTTTGACTCGTGGCGACAGGACAGAGCAGAACTGCCCACAGGGTGCCCAGGTGTCACCTTTATGCGAGCAGAGCTGCTGGGGGCGGGCGTGGAGCCCCAGGCCCTCAGGTCAGCTGACACGATCCACTGTGCCTCCCTAATCCCGTGGTGACCAGTGCACTTTGTTCTTCCTTAGGACTTTCCTTTCTCTTGCCCTCTTGCACTCTCCGGAGCGTGTACTAACACAATGAGTAGCAGTGGTGATAGCACATTCATGTCGGTCCGTGACCCAGGGCAAGGGCTCCACGTGTCCCCATTAAATACAGCGGTGGCTGTGGTCTCCCCTCTGGATGCACGCCCTCCCTCGTGGACGCTACTGAAAACCCTGCAGTGCGTGCCAGGCCCCTCTGCCAACCCCCAAGTCTGCACACCCTTCCTTCCCACATGCGCTCTGATGCATCATAGACTGCCAGCTGGACCAGTCCCCCGAGACCCAGCCTCTGGCCGCCCCTCAGCTCAGGGACGGCTACTCCATCTTCCCGTTGCTCAGAGCACCTCGACTCCTTCCTCTCTCACCCCTCTGTTGACTCCCTCTCCAAATCCTGCTGGCCGGGCCTTGGGCCAGCATCTGTGTGGAACCCTTCCCTCCTCTCCCCAGCGTACTCTGAGCTGCCGGCATCTCCTGGCCAGGCCACTACACTTTCTCTCCTGTGGCCCGGTGGTTGGACGTTCACACACATGCAGCCAGAGGTCCTTCCAGAGTCCGGCCACAGGGTGTCCCTGTGCTGCTCAACATGCCCCAGTGGCTTCGGGTCTCCCTCAGGGCAGGGGAAAGGTTCACAGGTCCTCTGGCCTGATCCATACCTGGTCCTCACCCCCTCAGCCTGACAAGCCTTCCCTGAACTCCCTCCAGGAAGCAAGGCAGGACCCTGCCTCAGGGCCTTTGGACAGGCCATTCCCTCTTCCTGGAAGGTTCTTCCTTATACCCATGATGCCCTCACTTCCTTCAGGTGTTTACTTCAGTGTCACCTGCTGGAAGAGGCCCATCTTGCCTCCTTACTGAACCAAAAGGTTGGTGTTGATTCAAACCCACTGGAGGGTCTGCAGGAGAAAGATGAGGCAGTCTGTTTCCATGGAAACTGACAGCCTTGGGGACCCTGTGGGCAGTTCCACTCTGTCCTCTAGGGGCGCTGTGGGTCAGAATGGACTCCAGGCAGTGGGTGTGGTTTGGGCTTTGCTTCTGTGAAG